GGCTTGATTTTGTGTGTGTGTGTGTGTGCATATACAAACGTATGTGCATATGCAAAAATATTCATAAATATGCTTAAAAGAGGATTATAAATGCACCTCTGTTGTTGAAGTTCCTCAAAAAAGGAAAAACAGGGAAATACGTTTTTTTTTTTCTTTGGTACTATTATTGTTACAATTATTATCATCGATGGTATTATCATCAGTATTGTTATTTCTACACTAAGGCATATATATATATTTTTTTATATCTTACTCATTGTTCATCACTGCGGGATTAACCCTTTCCCTGATACGTGCGTCATTCGCCGACTTTTATTTTGTTATGAGAGATGGAAGTACAGTTGATGATCCTTCACAAAAAAACAGGAATTATTTCGTTAAAATGTCATAATATCGTTTCTTTTGGTTTTAGTTCCAGATAAGTCACATTTTAGCGGCTGGTGACGTCGGGACCCTGAGACAACTGGTAGAAGAATTTGATTTGGATGACTTGTGTGCCAGAGAAAATGATAAAGGTAATGTTATCATCCCCTTCCTAAACCATGTCTCGACTAAATGAACTGAGATAAACAATATAGGACATCCTCCATCCATTCGTGTAACACTAAACTGATATGCTCAGGTTTTCGGTCTGTCCACTACGCTGCATGTGGAGGAAATGTTGAAATCCTGAAGATCCTTCAGAATAAGATGTATGACATGCGCTCAGTCACGAGCCAAGGATATTCAGCTCTGCATTTTGCTGTCAAGTACTCTCACGAGCCGGCTGTCAGATGGCTAATCGAAGAGGTTGAACTTGATGCTGCTCTTCCTCCCGGCAGAGGTGTCGCCTCTGTCCTGGCACTGGCCAGACGGAAAAGAAATGCGAATATGATATCATGTCTTGAAGAAGTAAGTTGCCAGTTCTGCAGAATTTCCTTTTTTCTCTCTCCTTTTTTTTACTCTTTTTTTTTTTTTTTTTACTCCTCTCCTCAAGAACTTTATGATTCAATACGTTATGCTTAACATAATGGTGAAACAAAGTGGGTGATATCCAATATTTTACCCGAATCTGATTCGATATTAAAAAGTACGATGTAATCTGGTCGTTCATGCTGTTATTGCACCTGAAAGCATGAAGCAGTTCCCACTCTATGATGGCCCCTTCAACTGCAGGTGACCACAGTGAGAGCCCTGGAGTCTGGCGACCTCGAGGAACTTATAAACCTGGTACGCGAGGGCGTCGACATTGAAGATGTGTGCAAAAGAAAATTGGGTAAGGAAAAGACCGCTGGTTCTCCCAGATCTTAGCCTTCTTAAAGTAATAGAATAGAATTTGGTTTTCTGGAAAAAGAATAAATCTGAAAAAAAAACTATGTACTGAAGCAGGAAACGGCGCATTCATCTAGATTATTGACAGATAAAAGCACCAGTTTAAATTGTATTGTACTAGGAGTTCAAGCGGCGAAACGAAAAGGAGAACAGTACTTAGAGTTTCATTCCTACTAATACCACTATGATGTTTGCAAGCGCTTCTATGGAAAGGAAAATGTAAGTAAATTAAAGTGTAGGACTATAACTCGTTTTACTAGCTTCACCGTATGACAATCTTCCCATTTTAGAGCTGGTATGATGAGCATTGGTGAAATTTGATGTTATTCAGTATGTAGATAAAGAAAGAAATGCTTTTTAATGCTCAAGATTGTAGTAGATAACCATACATTGCAAGTACACATAATTAATACTTAGTGAACAAGGCAATTGTAGTTATCGGTCCGCTTGTTTAGTGTCTGCAAGTGCAAAGAGAATAAAAACGATAAAGGGTATTTTTGAGCCTGTGCGGAATTCAGAATCCTGTATGAAAATTCCTGACTGTCCATTTTACTGCTTAGAAGACAATAAGTGATGGGTCCATAGCCATACAGACCGTGGGAACACTTTGTCGATGCTGTTCATACCAGCGTTAACTCCGATCTCTATCACTGAGATCAATGTTAAACGACGCTGAACACAACCGTATTTTCGTAGGTGCTACTATAGCTGCAAGTCAGTCTTGGAGTGTGATGAACTATGATATATTACAAAATGAGACTTTCTTGGACTGCATAGAGATACTATGTAGCAGAAATTCTAAAAGTAGGATAATTATGTTGAGGACAAAAAATAATGACAAAATCTCACGTCTCATTCAGCAATACCTCCTTTAACTATATGAAGTTTGAGGTTCATTAGATCATTCTCATATTTTACAGAGAGAGAAAGAAGTATGTTACTAACATAAAGGGATGGCCTAGGATATAAAACAATCTGTGATTCCCAACCTGATGCTAATCACCAGAAACCCGATTGTTTTCCAGGGTCGGGTTTCCTCCAATGTAAATCCTAGTTGTAGAAGACTTTTTGTGGGGGGCGGGGGGGGGGATTTGCCTTCAGAGTATGCCCAGTAAGCAAAACAGTCTTAGTCCAATGTGCGATTATCTAGGTTTCATTGTGCACAACCTATATCAGGTTTTCGATTAAA